ACACACACACACACACACACACACACACACACACACACACACACACACACACACACACTATAAAAATATTCAATTCAATAAAATATTTACAACTTATTTTGTAAATTTTGTGTCTAAATGAGCTAAAGTTTCTAGAACAAATGTATAAAGCAAAGCTGATGCTGTATGTTTTACAAATTTCGCATACTTTGTAATAATTATAATAAAATAACAATAATACATATTTCCTCTTCTGTGTACTTAAATGTTAAATTTTCGTACAAAGACCAATCTGATGCTCACCCCTCGCACAAAACGGCCGTCTGTACCTCCCGGGAAGATAGCAGTTTCCAAATTAATACCAATTTCATCGCAGGTATTTTTGAAAGCGATCCAGTATGGATTAGACTCATCTAGCTTGGTGTTCTCAATTTTGGGATTTTTCTCTTCGAAGGAATAGGTTACATCTGGACCAGCTTCTTCGCACCAGCGTTTGATAGTAGCTTCGAATTCGTCGTGATCAACAGAAGGCGTTATACGAATGTCGAACATAGCGTTGAGCTCAGTAGGTATAACGTTAGTTTGTACGCCACCCTGCAAATAAAAACATTTAATAGGCTAAAATCGTCAAAATATCAAATAGATAGATAAGAAGTTTCATGAAAACCTAGAATGGTAAAATAAAATCTTAACACAACTATAAGGCAAGAATTAATAAAGTAAAAAGTTGTACATTATGATCAATGTTAATTGTAAGACTTATTAGAACATTAGAATACTTACTGTGGAATATAAAAATCCCAATGAACAGACATATAAAATAAACAAGTATCATGTAACGATTTGAAAATTAAAACTTATTAATTTATTTGCTTTCTTTGAGATTTTCTTTTGAAATTTTCTTTTAAATATTTATTAGCATTCATTGAATTCAGTATAGAATAGTGTTTATACAAGGGCAATGAGCATACTAACAGTGCAAAAAACTGTTTTTTAATTTACAATTTAAATTATATCTATCATTCCGTTTCGGTTCTCACAGAACCATCTTCAGTGGACGCATAATTTACTTTACTAATACATATTAATAACCGGTCTTATTTTCATTCATCAGTTGAAATACTGCTCAATTATTGCGATTTTTACTCTGATTACGTAACTCAGAATGGTAATCTATGGACATTGTAATACTAATCGTAAGTGCCAATAAGTTTTTTTATGTTATAAAAATATGAACTTAAAATTAGGTGTGATATTCTATTTGGAAATGTCTCAATGTTTCTGTTGATCTGTCAACTTCCAAATAGAATATATATCACACAATTTCAAGTTTATATTTCTATAACAAATTTCTTTGTTGGCACTCATTGCCATGTCCATGGTTTACCATTTCGAGTTATATGATCACAGTCACAATAATTAAGCAATAATTACAATAATTAAGTAATCGCAATAATTAAGTAGCATTTCAATTGCTAAATGAAGACAAGACTGATTATTAATATGTATTAGTAAGTTATGTCCACTGAGAATAGTTTTGTGAGAATCAAAACATTTGGAATAAATGTAATTTATATTGTAAATTAAAAAACAGTTTGTTACACTGTCATAGTGCTCATTGCCCTTGTATAGATACTTTATTTTTAAATTTGTATTTTATTGAGTTTTCGAAAACTTTGTTTAATTTTCAGCATAGAATCTTATTTAATATTTTATATTCTTATTCATGAATTCCTCTAAAAGAAAAAAATGACAATAACTCAATAATTTTTTAATATAAATGCTCTTATAAATTATATCTTTTAAATGATTTTTTAACGAAAATAGTACATTTTTGCATGATACCTACCCAAATTTTTGTAAGATTTACAGATGTCACTCCGCCAAGAGTAGACCCTAATTTTGCAAGATCTGTACTTAATTTTGCTTTTTCAGAGGCTCTGAAGTCTGTGAAACGATCGATTATAACTCTTAATTTTTCCCCAGCCGTGTTGTCCAACATGATAGATCCGTGACCGGGATTGCCCGCGCACTTTATTCCGACATGCCAAATCGATCTTTCTCCATAAAACATGTAAAAGTTCTCGAATGGGCTAGCCACACCTTCATCCAGCGCGAAACCGACGTTCAGAGCTTTGAAGTCTGCAGTGTGCACAAAGGCTTTCATTCCGAGAACACCGCCGATCTCCTCGTCCGGGACGAAAGAGATGTGGATAGTGCGTTGGCAACGTTGTCCGTTCAGTTTCAGTCTACGGATCGCCTCCAAATATTGTATTGCCACGCATTTCATGTCCTGGCTGCCGCGAGCGTAGATATCGCCTTGCTCGTCCATGTGTGCGCTGAATGGCGGATAGGTCCATTTGTCCTAGATCAGTTATACGATTGAGAATCAACAAGTTGATCAATGTAATTATTGTGTGAACAATAATTACATACATACTAGGGCGTGTTCGGATTCTCAGGTGCTCTCCCCCCATATAGATTTCTAAAGGGGCGTCCATTTCCAAAGAACATTCAAAGGATATCTCTATATCCTAAGAATGTTTTTTGGAATGTCAGAACGTTTCTCGAATAAAGTGTGCTGTGTGAGCCGGATGTCATCCTTGTTTAACATATGATGTCTGTTTTTTATTGCTGCACTTTCTGAATTGGTATACACAGTGCAATAAGTTGAAGTGAAACAAATATACGTTTGTTTCACTTCAACTTATTGCATCGGTTTAAAGTGCAGCAATAAAAAACAGACCATCGGTAAACAACAAGAATGGAGTAACACCTGGCACTCAGGTGGGAATCTGAACATAGTCCTGAGAAAAATGTCTGATTGGATTAACTGAAATTCTGATTGAGAATAGACGAATCAGAACTTTCTGGTTTGTCTAAAGTCTAAATCTATCAGAAGTCTAGTTGAGATAACTGAAATTCTGATTGATATAATCAGAATCTTTTATCAAATTCAGAATCTTCTATCTAATTCATCCATTTTCATGCAGATATTTTTCTTAATGCAATAATATACATCTGCAACATCTTTACCGTAAATCAAAATACTTACTTCGAAAACAGGTACAACGTCCATGTGACTGTTCAAGAGAATCGACTGCTTCGTAGGATCCGTTCCCACCCATGTTAAAACCACAATCGGTTTTTTAGGATGTACGTGATAAATTTTAACTGGTAAGTCGAGAGACTGTGCTTGTCTAGTTATGAATTCCACGCATTCATCTGAAATGAAAAACACAGTAAATTATTTTTCGCAATAAATTAATTACAGTTTTTTAAGATTTGGGAAATTTTGGGGGGATTATTTGTTTTAGATTGATTGTGTGAATCCGATAATCTCATCGGCTCGCAATTTATTTTCTGAAAATTAATTTAATTTAAATGATTGTATATTATATAGTACAATAGTTCAACATCTTAACACTCGGACCGGTAAGGCGCTTCGTTATTTCAAATAGTAAATTAGATTGTATTAGATTTAATATGGAAACTTTTATCTATATTCATGGAAAAAGGAAAGAAGGGATATAATATCTGGAAAAAAAGGTAAAGATAATGAAAAAATCAATCATAAGAGAGGTACGATCAGCGGAAAGAGATAATAATAGTGGGTAGAGTTCAAAGGAAATAAAAGTGTGCGAGTGTAATAAGCAGGTGATGATTATAGGTTGTGGTTAAAACTGTGGTCTAGATATTAAATTTAGTTTATAGTATTAGAATTAGATATAGAATAAGAAGCTATGAAGGAAAGAATGTAAATGATATATGGAGCAAAACTATAATAACTTTGAGTAGCAAGAAGTAGCAAGAAAAAGGGGTATGTAGCAACGTGAGATATGAATAAGTGGATTAAAGCTTTATATGTAAACCAAATCCCCTTCTTGACTGTGTATACTGAAGTGTAAGTGTAATAAAATTTTATTCTATACTTATTTCTAATTTATTCAGTTATCAGGATTTAAAGAGCTTTTGTAAAAATTAATTGTAAGGTAAATTAAATAATTTCTTACTATGTTCAAAACTTGCAAGTTAATTTCAGCAGTAATCGGTGTAGCAATTCCATATAATTTAGGCTCTAATTCAGTTTATTTATAAATAAGAAATCTAAAATGTGTTATTGGGAAAACGGGACTTAAATTTTAACTGTGTAAATAAAAAATAAAATAACTATAATACTTACTATGTCTAAAATTTAAAAGCTAATTGATGTATCAATTTTACTTAATTTAGGTTCTAATTCAGTCTGTTCATAAATAAGAGAACATCTAAAACATTGAGCTAGCATAACATAACTTAAATGTTGTTCAAGTTCAATATTTTCTAAAGTAATTTTCCCTGTTATTAAATAATAAAGTAAAACGATATAGGAAAATGTTACATAACAATAATAATGATCCATATCGCGGAGATGAATTCCTTCAGAGATATCAGGCAATCGTGTGATAATCGCGATAAGAGACGAGGCACTTGCTGAAGGATGGTAATTGGCTCTATTATCAATTGCAGTCTCTTATCTATTCCATCAAGAGATCAAGGAATCTATTATTTCTCAACCATATGCGTATTAAGAAATATAACGAGTCGTAAATGTGTCACGATTCATCCACAAGCCATGCCGCTATATCGTATAGATTCAAGGAAACGCGAAATCTCGTCGACCGGGTTACATAACCAGCTTCCACATTTTCATTTCGGTCGTCAATTCGCGATTCGGGACAGCCTCTGCCCGTCGAACCGGCAGGATCGTTTTGAGAATGACGACAGGGAACGCAAAGTGCCGGGCCGTGTACCCAATCTGGGTCACGCCGCGGCGCCCATTGAGTCGCCGCGACGTCGCCGTCGTCGTCGCGCTCCGATCAGCGGGAGGACGCCCGGGACCGGTTCCGGCGACATCGCGGTACAGCTCGGCGAGGTCGGCAAGACACCGCGACCGGACGTAGGGGAATAAAAATAGAAATAACATCGCACGCGTAGGGTGGGGCAACGCAATGGCTGGATAGCGTCACCGACGCTATCCCCCCAATTCGTCACCTCGCGAACATCCTCGCCTGTCGCCGGCGTTGCGGGAGCGCGGCCGGCCGATTCCCACGGGCGGACAAGTGACGCCGATCGCGAGGAACTCCCCCTCGTCGTCGGTGAATCGCGCAATTTATCTAACGAGGAAACGCGTCGTTGAGCGGCGTGCTTCGCGACCCCCGTTCGCAAACGTGGCCGGTCGGCGTGGGTCCCGCTTTTTCCTACTTTTTCCTTTTCTTTTTTTTTATACAGAACACGCACAAGTCTCGCGCTTTCTCCCATCTACAAGCGCTTTCTACGGAATCTCCAATCTCGACTTAGGCCAACTTAGACGCTGGACGCGACGCGAACTAATCCGCTCTCGCCGCTGGACGCTTTTAGACGCGCGCGTCACAGCGATCACTCTCCTCCCCCTCGCTCACGCTCGCCGCGTTTCACCCATTTTTTTCGAAAATCTTATAGAATCTCAAATCATACACGTCCCCCCCGCGATCGCTCACCGTAGTTGACGTCCGGCTGCACCGACGGTATCCGCAGGTACTCGCGGAAATTCTCCACAGCTGTTCCGTCCAATTCGGCCTGCGACATCGTTCCGAGATCGTCCGTTTTGCTTGTTGCCTTATCACCGCTTGTGATTTAGGTTCTTACCCTTGCGATCAGTGGTTACACTTCCCAATGCCTGAACGTACGTCCGTACGCCGATAAGGTGCGGGCCTAGCGTACAGACGCCTACCGTCAGCGATCGACTGTCACGAGTAGACAACGGCGAGCGGCGTCGAGGCCCGAAGCAAAGTCTCCGGCGTACCGTCGCGGCCGGAATGCCGCCGCCGCGCGCGACCACACCGCGGCCACGGCTCGCCCAATTGCCGCCGGTTACCGGCGCTGACGTCACAGCGACGCGCTCGAATCGAATAGCGCGGTTAGTAACAGGCTCCCATGCGCTCAGCACGACACCGCGTCCGCCACGTCGGAGCACGTCGTCGTCGCGTCGCGCCGCGCCGGCCGCGCGCCGGTCCGGCGTTTGAAATCACGACGCGTGGTGATACGGCGACGCGACGCGGCGCGGCGAGGTGGTATCGCTCTTGCTCCGCTCGCTTCTTCTATCACTTCCCTTTCATCCGATTCTGGAGAAAAATATGAAGTACGCGCTAGAATTTCAGTCATAGTCTAAACTTTTGGGAGTGAAATTTCACTCCCAGAGTGAAATAGTTGCGTCCGGTTAGACAGGAGTGAAATTTTCACTCTTAGAGAATGAAGATCACTCCAAATGGGCGTCAATTTTTTTAATCTATATGAATAATTTCACTCTACGAAGGGAGAGACTAAAATTTCATTCTGATAAATACTAAGTTTAGCCTTCCTAATAATCTGATCTAAAAATTGTTAGGCTCATTCGACGTGTTTTTTGCACAAAATGAATGTTGTGGCAGAAAAAAGCGTCGCTCTGTCTCGCGAAGCAAGATATTAATCATTAAAGTTGATCTTTTTAGGTCATAAGAAATTATTTCCTGAAAAAGTAAAGTTCACTCGTTGCCGGACTGGCACACTTTTCTTGGAGTGAATTTTACTCCCAAAAATTTAGAGTGTAAATTTTATGGAATTGACAGGTTCATTATATTTTCTAAAATTGTTGGACTATGTTCGAAAACACTACCCGAGTATTATTATTTTATCCTTGTTTAACATTCAATGAATAACAAGAATACTCGAAAGTACTCGAGTAATGTTTTCAATCACAGCCTCAAAGAATGAATCTCACTCTGAAGAGTGTAATCTTTATCTTTAAAGATTGAAAATTGAATCGCTCTTTTTCAATCACTCAATTTTCACTTTTTAGAGTGAAATTCTGTTACAAAGAATTTAGAGAATTTAAAGAATAGAGACAGGTGCCCATATTTATATAGAATTTATTTTAATTTAAAAATTTCAATTAAAAAAAAAAGCATCTCAATAGAATTTACTTCATCGACGAGTACTTTTTATCTTCTCGCTGACAAAATTTACTTTATTTTAATAAAAGGTAAATGTATAAAATTTTGAAAGCTGTTTGTGCTTACACAGTCTTGAGAATAGATTTATTTTAGATAAAATAATAATCATTTGAATGGATTTACTACAATTATAATATACTTTCGGGCAAGTAAAGTTTGTCACAAGTTCGGCAAAAATAGCCAAAATATTTTTACTAATCTTGTAAAAATTACTCAACCATTTTTCTCCGCGTGATCTTCTGGTAGACTTTGTAGCAGCAGTTTCGTTGATATCATCACTTGTATGTACTGTTATCTTCTCTTCTTATTATTTAATTTTGTAACTTTATCATATCATGTTGTGTATTGCAATAAAGATTAAAGATATCATCCTTTCTGTTTCTCGCTGCCGTCATCGAAGTAGCGAGAAACGCAGAGACAGAAGAAATTTTGCGTTCTCTCTTCCCAATTTCAAGTGCAAATTTCTGAAAAATTTTTGGAAAGGTCAAAAACATGCAAACAAGGACGCATTTACGAAAAATTTGCGACAATATCTGACGCGATATTTCCGGTTTATATTTTTTTTACTAGAAATGATTTTTAGCTTTTTGTCTAAAGTCTTATTGACGATTCTCGCTATCGTTAACTAATGTTAAGCAATGGTAAGGACAATTCCGGAAAAATTTATTAGCTATCGCTAATTAACGATACTAATCTCGAACGTTAAAGAATACGTTAATAAAACGTTATTAAGAATACGTATATAAAACGTTAGAGAATATTGCTACTCGTCCCTTTTATATCTGTAATGTCAAAAACATTCCGATATATCTATTTTTAGCAATGTAGATAACTTTAATCTCCTTCGTAAAAATTTTAAGAGAGACTCTCACTCTTAAAGACTGAAAATTGAGTCACTCTTTTTCAAGACTAGCTCAATTTTCACTTTTTAAAACGAAATTTTACTTCAAAGAATTTAGCGATAATTTACTTTTTATCTTCTTCTAATTCCAATGCCTGTTTCCACTAATGATAGTTTATTTTTGGTTTAAAACTCTTGTAGAAGTTATCATATTGAATCATTACGTCAAGAGCGAGAAATAACACGTTAATTTTTATTACGTGCCATTTATAAATGAAGACAATTTAGATCAAATAAAATGATAAGATTGCTTCAAAAACATTTGTAAAAATGAACGAAAACTATCCCTCTTATCAGTTAATAAGTAATTGTAAAAAGTGATAAAAGTGACACATTAAGTGCTTTTATTCAGTCCGAATTTATCATAATTTTTAATCTTTTTCTAGTTCTAAGAATTAAAATAAATGAAGAGCAAGTTAAATCGAGATTAAATTTAAGCTACATTTGTGGAAACGGATATAAGTTGGAAAAAGATAAATTAATCCGAGATTAAAATTCATCTGCATTGGTAGAAATAGACTTTAGCGAGAATCGACTTAGATCAGTTTTTAAAATCATTTTAGTCGACCAACTAAAAGCATCAAATCTACAATATAAATATAATATAAAGCATGGTGTTACATAATACTAGTTATATTGGTGCGAAATTATGTCACTTTTAGTTAGTGTCGATTGGAATGATTGTTCTCCCAAAGAGTTCTTCAAAATAAAAATGCACAATATTTGTATATTGCTGCAAATTGTAAATTACTAAATTATAATAATAAACATAAAAATATCAAATTTATATAGCCCATAATTTTGAGCAAGAGATAGTATTACAAATTATATTCTCTATTAATTCTACATGCCTATCAAAAGAGAGGCTTCATCGAAGAGAATAAATAAATAATAGTTTCGAAACCATAATTGTTAAACACTATAAAAGTTCTTTAAAATGCAAAAAAAATGTGATATTTACACAACATTGCAATTAGAGAATTTCGATAACGTAAAAAAAATATGTAATTTTCAACAAAAGATAGTGCTGGAAATTGAATACATCGCAGCAATCATCCTCAGAGATAGCAGATCGTAATATATAACGTACATGTTTGTTTATGTTGAAAAATCAAAATAAAATAAACAGATAAGCTCTTATCTGCGACAGTAAACAAATGATATCAATATCGTCGTCGGTTACTATGCTAATTTTCACTTTTAATTAGTAATAAACACGATTTCATTTGTTCAGGCATATTAAGATGGGAGCGATAGCCGCCCTGTGATCGTGGAAAAAAACTATAAATTTAACCGCACAATAATGATAAGGCGATAAGGACCATCAGTCAACTCGACTAGTAAAATGTATTCCGATTTATTAAATTTTTTTCACGTATGCCTAAATATGAACTCTTTACACGTTACGCCATAATAATATATCGTGTGTAGAGTTTGATATCGAAGAACTTGTTACATTTATTATAATCGATAATATGGATTAAATTATCATACAATATAATAGATAATAATTGTAACATGGCTATAACTAGGCACATACATGTAACAGTGAATTGCAAATAAAAAAATTATCGTGTATTCTCAGCCTATTATATAAAGATTGAATATATATATGCGAATATAATATAATATTAATATAATATAATATAATATAATATAATATAATAACCGCTATGCGCTCTGCTTTTTTATTTACAACATTGAAACGATTATCCTAACGAGTTATTTTATACTATCAGATGCTTTAATAACAAGATCGCGTGT